AGAGAGAGAGAGAGAGAGAGAGAGAGAGAGAGAGAGAGAGAAAGAGATTGAATAGATAGAGAGTTTAAGGTGAATCAACAAGATGAAGCAATCAACCAAATCGGTTTTTCTCTTTTGTTCGTTTTAAACTCTTTGATTCTTTTCGAATTGTTGTTTTGTATTTAAAAGTATAATGTCGACATTTGAAACATAGACGAAGAACTATTTTCCATGAAAGCTACCGAGCGCTTTGAAAATACAATACATTTTTCCATCTTTATTACGAAAATAGTTGTTCCTCCTCTACTTTCTCTCCAACGAAACATTTGCACGAAACCATCGAGTGATGAAATTCTTACTTGCCACATATGCTAATTCATTATCCAGTTTTGTGTTTTTGAGGGAATCAAAACGAGTTCTCCCAACTCCTTTTGTTGACAACATTCCTATTATGTCTGTTCTCAATTTTGCCAAGCAGTGTGAACATTTCAACAAACTCGACGAAACAAACAAAAAAAATCCGAAGAAGAATACACATCCGATTCGAACATTTAGCACATACAGGAAGCAATTTTGACGGCCCCCTGTTGTAATCTATGAAATTGTCTAGGCATCGATATGCAAATTGTTGCTCATTTCAACGATGTAAAACGATCACGTCTATCCGAAACAACGAACCAAATACTATGGCTACAAGTATGGCTACAGGCAACATCCGATTTTGTTTTCCGGCTGCTGTACGCAATCACAACAATATATATTCTACCAATGGCAAGACACGCACACGAAGTATGTGAGATTCTTTTGATACAGATATTATATGGAATTCTCATCATTTCAACGCATTTTATCGATGAAACATCACATCGGTCCATGATTACTATGGATATTTTAGCAAATGGATCAACCAATTTCATTCTCTGACACTATGACGAAACTTTTATAATTTGCTTTATGCTGAACACCGAAAGTTTCGATCCGAAACATCAACGTTGGGTTGCATTACATTTCATCACTCAACGGTTTTGGTCTGGAATTTTTTTTTTGTAAAGAAGAAGAAGAAGAATGAAAAAATATCTTCAAGAGCAAAAACATCGTATTGTTCAAGAACTTCCATTGAATATGAGTTTTCATACAAACGAACGAACAACGGCGACAATTTTCGCTTCAGTAAAACCAAACAGATTAAAAGACTGTTAGAATAAATTCGGAATCAAAGTCGAGCGTTTGAAATTGAAATCAATGCTTTTCTGTGCTTTTGAATGCAGCGACATCTTTACGTCATTTTTTCAAGCAGCAAAGCAACGAACACACTTCTTCAATCTCACCGAAGCCCATTTTCAACATTCGTCAGTCAAAGTCAGCATTTTTGGTCATTTTACTTTTATTTTCAGACTTTTTGCTCAATTTAAAAATAAAATCGAGATTCTTCAGAAGAAAAACACTGGAAAATGGAATGTTCAACAAAGTAAACAAAATTATAGGATAATCATTGCCAAAAAACAAGCGCTTTTCTAAATTCACTGTGAAAAAAATTCAAATTCCAGTGAACTTTGGTTAATTCTCCTTGTAAAGTCGTACTTAAGCATCAATCTGTCATACCAATTGACTACTCAGCTCGTGTGCCTTGTTTCAATGTGCGAATGTGACATTTGCGGTATCAATAACCAAACAGACTTTTTTTTTGTAAAAAAATAGACCAAAAAAGAGTGTTATGTACTTGTAATCGTGATGATGAGCAAAACAATTTTGATTGTTATTAAATAAGAGATAAGGGCGATAAGAGGAGCAATCTAATTGGAGCTCTATTTAATTAAAAGGGCCACATCAAATACGTCGAAATTGTAAAAAGAGTTAGATCGTTGTGCGAGCCGCGTGTGATTGCGATATCTTTTCTTCAGAAGGTTTTCTTCAATGTTTTTGACTCGTGCACCGTTCCGTGCTTTGTCACGTCAGTTCCAGCAGAGTGTGAGATGTTTGTGCGACAAAAAAGACAAAGATGTCAAAACAACGGTGTGGCCGCCAGAGAATAAAGAGAAGCGACTCGAAGATTGGAAGGTGATCGACAGTACGGAACTAAAGCCACCGCCCGCTGAAAATCCAATCACACGAACACATCGTATTTTGAAGGATGATATTTTGCGGCTGAAAAAATACATACCAGGACTGGATGGACGGACGACACGTCAAAATGCCACAATGTGGAAGCATACACTGTTCGGCGAAGGTGAAGGTTTTCCCGAAGAGGAATTTTTCCCATCGCATTGTGACATCGTTATCATTGGTGGCGGTGCCATCGGATCTTCCATTGCTTATTATCTCAAAGAACGCGCACGAGAGGGTCTTCGGGTTGTCGTACTCGAACAAGATAAAACTTATGAAAAAGCATCCACAACACTTTCGGTCGGTGGCCTTCGACAACAATTTTCGCTGGAGGAAAATATTCTAATGTCATTGTATGCTTCGGATTTTCTTCGAAATATTAAACATTATCTAGGCGATCATGTAAACGTAAATTTTGTACCACATGGCTATTTATTTTTGGCCACCGAAGAAGGTGCCGAACAACTGACACAGAATTCAACGCTACAAAATCGACTCGGAGCCAAAAACATTTTACTCACGCCCAAGAAATTGAAAGATCGTTTCCCATGGCTTAATGTTAACGATATTGCTTTAGGTAAATTGGCATGAACATTTTTTTTATTCATCACTTTGTTATAATAAGTACAAAAATTTACCATGCTGTTTCTCATTTGTCTCCCAATTGCAGGTTGTTTCGGTTTAGAAAAAGAAGGCTGGTTCGATCCTTGGAGTTTACTGATGGGTTTCAAGCATAAGGCACAAAGTTTGGGCGCCGAATACATTGACGGCGAAGCGGTTAATTTTGAATTCGAACAAAATGAGCACATTCAAATCCAAGGCGTACCATCGGGTGAATACAATTCGACCAATAATCTCATTGTCAAATTGAATACGGGCGAAGTGAAGCGAATCACATTTGCTACTTGTATAGTAGCGGCTGGTGCTTGGTCAGGACATTTGGCGAAATTATTGAAAATCGGCTCGGGTCCAGGCATTTTATCGGTTCCGTTACCCGTTGAACCAAGGTAACGGCAATTATAGACATACTCTTTTTTTTCTCAACTTTTCAAATATTTATTTTTTTCTTGTTCAACTTCGTTTTATTTGTTTCTATTTGCATTTCTCGGATTACAATTAATTTTTTTGTTCTTCAATTTTTTTTTTTTTTTTTTTTTTTCTTCATTTTTTGCTGTTGTTTTTCAACAATTTTCTGAACAAAAGATTTGCCCAATGACTAATTTGCCGTATATTTTTGTAACATTCCTTTCCAGAAAGCGTTATGTGTACACAATAAAATCACAAGGGCAAAATCAGCCATTGTTCAACTCTCCGCTGACGATAGATCCAAAGTCAACAACATACTTCCGATGTGATGGTTTGGGTGGTAATTTCCTATGCGGCCGAAGTCCATCACTTGAAGATGAACCATCCACAGAAAATTTAGACGTTGACTACAGTTATTTCGATGAAATGATTTGGCCACACTTGGCACACCGTGTACCTGCATTCGAGAATGCCAAAGTATGTTCAGCCTGGTCGGGCTATTACGAATTTAATACATTTGACGAAAATGGCATCGTTGGACTGCATCCGTACTATCACAATATTTACTTTGCCACCGGTTTCAGTGGACATGGCATTCAACAGTCACCAGCTGTTGGACGAGCCATTTCCGAAATGATTTTACACGGTGAATTCACAACGCTCGACCTGAGTCGACTCGGATTCGATAGGCTCATGGTAGCCGAACCAATGCTAGAACAGAATATTGTTTAAAATTATTGAAGAAAAAGAAAATTATGTTAAAAAAATGGACTTATAGTTTATTGCTAGTGAATCATTAATAATGATTAAACGATTTTAAAAGAGAATTTCTTAATAGAAAATTTGTTATTGCTTAGGTTTTTATTTTTACGAAAGAAACAAAATTATTCAAAGAATGAAACATTTTCCTGACAGTTTTTTTTTTTTTTTTTTTTTTGAATCGAGAAATTGAGAGAAAATATTATGTTTTCCTAAAAAATCATCTTTTTAACGCAACGAAGTATGCTTTGTATTTTCTATGGAGCATATTAATCTATAATTGACTTTAAAAAGGCGGTTTTTGAATGCTAAGCGAAGACAACTTCAACTCTTTTACGATTTTTGCTCTTATAGTTCTTTTGACAATTTCAATGGGTTTGGTTTAAATAAAAACTTGTTATTCAACAAACTCTCTCCGCTATAATACCGATATAAAGCGTTCTAAACATCCTTTTATTCTTGATAACGTGAATGCGTGTCAACCAATTAATTTCCGATTTTTGACTGGGTAATGGCTGACTGAAAAATGATTCTGTCGAATAAATTCTACGACAATCAACGTCAAAAATATTTGCTTGATAGTTAATTTTAAGAAAAAATATCCAAAATTAGTCATCTGGCTGAAAATATCAGCTACAGTTAAACGCGATTGTTTCTACACAATTTTTTTTTTGATTCAATCAACTTAGCCAGTCCAAACTGTTAGCCGCTACACACAGCTGAATGACTGTTGGTCATTTCAATCCCGAAGGGAAAAGAGTCGTTGAATTTATTGAAACTGGCCACAATAAAATGGTTGATGATACCCATTAGATTATATGCATCATACATAAATATTAACATTTATTTTGTTGATGGAAATTTCGCCTGATGAAATAAAGCACGGCAATAAAATGAACCAATAATAAATTGTTATTATTTAATTAGGAGCTTGGTAATTACTTCACTGGTCGAATGAAAAATTGTCATTATCTTTTGTTTTTGTATGATAATATTTTGGTACTGAGTACACAATTTGTTGGTTAGAAAAAAGAAAAAATCTCATATGAATTTGCAATAAAGAAATTCTGAATGAAAATGTTCACAATTTACCATTCTAATTCAATAAAAAAATTGATTCTTATCAAGATTTAATACATTCATTGTTAAGGTAAGTAAAAGAAAAATAAGTTCGATAAAATGGTCATTATTTCCACTTGTTGACAAAAATCGCGATATAATCGTAGCCTTCGTGCTAGAGCAGTTTCCGGCTTCTATAACATTCCATCAAATAGTAGTATTGGTCATACAAAGCAGTAGCAGGAACAATAATCAAATCCCCAGAAATAAATTTGTTTGCTCTGAAAACGAAAGCAGAAGAAAAAATTGGTTTAAATTCGAATCACATGCATTTTGGATATAATAGACGCAATATGAAGCGGCATATCATCACGTATTTTTTCATTTGGTGAAATCTATTCATAAACGTTGGCTTATTAGATGGAGTGTCTACATCGAGAGCGACACAACAAACAGAATGAGACGTCGTGTAATGGTATGCGTGAGAAAAATTTCTAAATGTATCTTTATTTCGGATGCACATACACGAAACGAAGAGCAAAAGTTGTGTATCGCACGTACACATACACATCCGAACATCGGTTGGTGTGCATTGTTTGTACAGCCTATCCCATATACAGTACACACGCCGAATGGAAAGGCACAGCAAACGCACACATACGCGCGTGCACTCTCTCTCTCTCTCTCTCTCTCTCTATCTCTTGGCGCGTTCACTTCGTCGCCTCCATTGACTGATGTTAGCAAACGCACATACATTATTATTTAGTATTCATACGAACACCGTTCAAGCAATACACATCCAACTGTCGACACTTTCGCAGTTTAGGTTATTTTTTTTGTAAGTTCGCAAAAGCCGAAGCAGCAGTGTCTAACTGAACAGCAAATATCACCATTAAATTTAATTGAATTCGAAAACAGTTCAACGCAAGATATCCATTGTAGCAGCTGTCTGTGTGCGAAAGTAAAGCCAAATAAATAGATAAATTTTTATTAAATTTTATTGTTGGTTTTTGGGTGGAACGAAAAGAAAGAAATAATTACAGCACGATGTGCAAGTGTTTAGCTGGGCAAGTTGCTTGCTGGTAAGTTGCAATCGATCAACGAAATTATTCATAAATAAGACTGAACGTTGTGTACATGCAACGTGAACCAATTTGAAGTGCATTCAAACAGGTTCTCTGTCGTACTTTCCATTATTGTGAACACAACATGGAGAGAGAAAAAAAAGAAGATACAAACAAACAGCCATTCCATTGTCCGATTTGACTGTTTCACATTGAGTTGACTTACTCATGTTGCCACACTTAAGATGCCAATCATTGGTTTGAGCATTGTTTTTCAATTTTTTGACAACATAGTTCAATCGAAAGTGGCTTTGGGGATTTGGTTTATTTCTTTGTTGAAATTATTATTGCTTTGGAATATAGCGTCTCTTCGATACCGAATCGTTTATCAAGTGAATTTGTTAAGAAGAATCGTTTCTTCGTATTTTTCCAATCATCACGTTAATTACCCGCACCAATTCTTTACACTCTATTCAATGATGCTCTTCTCACTCAATTCATCTATTGTCCAAGTAATTTTAGAACGAGAGTTTGTATGCACTCGCTTATTCATTTTGTTTTGAGCAAGTGTTTCCTTAGAACAACGCCTGACCTTAGACAGAAAAAAACACTTAAATTTATCTCATTTGCTTCGGTTGTGTATGCATTGCATCAAAGTCAATTCTAATAAGAATGACTACGGTCAATGATCTTCGTGGTTTTTTTCCCCATTAAATCAAGAGAATTTTTCCCCTGTTTTTTTTCTTCGTTTAATTCCATACCCAAACCGCGTGATCACGCATTAAAACACTCTTTGTTGCATATATTTAAATGAAGCTGACTGAGCCACACAAAGAACACCTCTATTTACTACTACCTTTGCTCATTGTTTTGTGCACGATGCAAGCAAGCAACAATTCGTGATTCAGACGAGAGAGAAAAAAACACACACATACTGTTGTACACATCGACTGCTGTGTTTTTTTACATTTCGGCTTTTTGTTTAACGTAAAACGTACCGGAAAACTGTGCTATTTTGTATGAGAACGACGGATATTTTTTCTTCTCTATCTACACATCTTCTAAGGGAAAATACCTTTTGTGTGAATTTTGTCTGTGTTCAATATAGAATGTTCGATATTTATTTGATGTACTAATAAATGTATGAATAAATCGAATAGTTTTCAGTTTATTTTGAAAAACATTGCGTTGAGCTTCGTGACGAATTTATCATTTTTATTGACTCATTTTCAAAGAAATCGAATTACATATACATAGATAGAAAAACCGGCGATATCACTCGACGTAGAAATGAGTCATGTGCATCGAACTCTAACAACAATATAAATTATTGTTTATTATTTTACGAATTGACAACAATAGAAAGCATTTTTTTTTTCACGGTTTTCTGTACGAAGAGAAGACGGTTGCATGATACCGGTTCGCTTTGTTTACAGCAATTGTGCGGCGACACATATGATTTATCACGAATACTATTGGGTCATTTTATAGACGAAAAGAACGAGAAGAAAGGGAAGAGACCGCTTTTATTTCATGCGAAAGTGCAATACTTCCTTTTGCTAAAAACGATGAAACAAAACGACATGAATGAAATTACTGAATTTAATGATACAGTAAGTTTTCTTGCTAATGACCCATTTGTTTGGTAATAAATTACGTCGGTATTTGAGGTTCTTTTTCATTTGGTATAAAGCGTCCGGCATGACATTTTCGAAGAAAGATAATTGGTTTTTTTTTTAGTAAAAATCAAATTCATACTTGGAGGAAGTGGTTTTTCACATCCACTTTGTTGATAACATTAACTTGATATAAACTCACTGACACAGAATTTATGTGGAAATATTACGCAATGATTTTTCTCTTTAGCATGGAAACAAAATTTGTCCATCGTTCCGAAACTGTGAATTCGTTATCATTATTGGTTAAAAAAAAATGGTTATAATTATTGATTTTGTGTTAATTTTCGACGTGTTGATAAAAAAAAGTTCGTTTGATTGAAAACCGCCGAAAGTACTGCAGTTGGAAATCTGGACTTGATTTTGTTTTAAATGAAGAGATTTAGTGATGGCTGGCGATATAAAACGTTAAAAAAAAATTGGTTGCGCCAATGTCCGTAATTCTGCGTGGGTATTCCTCACTTTCAGCATTATCAAGCTGTTGATATGAGTCTATAGATTGCTTATGTGCACACTGATTGGATTTATACGAGGTGAATGTTTGAGATATGTGCCCGTCTTTGGCTATTAACCCGTTGATGTGGATCCTTTTGAATCATTGAAATTCCCATGATGTAGAAAAACGCATAGTTTGAATATATTAAAAAAATGTCTGTGATTCATATATCAAGCTCAATTAAAGTCAAATCGCTCACAGACCAAAGTCTGTTGTTACTGATTCAGATGTCTGGAGCTTTGCTCCCTGCACTAATTGATCAACAAATTGGAGTACGAAAAACAAAATCGGCTCGAGTGTAATTTGTTATTGTATATATATAACGAGATAAAAATTCCGCTGTTTCAGATAAAACAAAATGTCTAGATATTGGCTGCACAAACAAACCGTCTTGAACATGGCATGAAACTACAACGATCAAACAAACACCGCAAACCATACATTTGTGCTGAATAGAATGAAATAGAAGAGAAAAAAGCGCACATCCAATTATATAAATAAAAACGATTTTTTGCTTAGGTTTTTTTTCGGCCTAGCGACTATTTTCACATGTTCGCACATTTGAATGCTTCGGCTAGTGAATGATATAATTCCACATTGATGACACATATTTCACGGACAAGTGATAAGTAAATAGACGACAACGAGGGAAAAAACCATCTTAGTGGTCGGCAGCATGTAATACATGCACACACACACACACACACACACACAGGCTTAGTGCATTGAGTCAGTGTGAATGTTTGCTATTGCTGTCACCATCGCTACTTGCCTTCACTTTTGTTGTTTCATCTTCAATTGCGTTTAATTAATTAAAAGGCAAAGACTCTAAAGAGTGTCAAGCAGATGGAACATCAGTTCAATAAGGTTGATGTAGTCATAATTGCGTTTACTTTTGTTCTTTTTTTTCGGTTTTTTTTTGTCGGTTTTTTTTTCTCCTTTGTGCTGGGCATTTTCATTGATCCAAATGCCGGTATTAGTATGTAAATAGTGTTGGCGTTGATATCAGCTTAGGGCGGATGCCTGCTGTTCTATTATCCTCAATTCAAAAAACGAAAGTGTATTCCGTATCATTTTGCTTCGATCGAATAGTCGAAATTGCTCAGTCAAACATTGAATTCGCTGTATACGTTTCGGCATTTCCTCAATTTAACTCGTGCAAAAATTTGCCACAAAAATATGAATTATTTTGATGTGTGGTGGTGGATGATGTAATTTCATATAAAATTAAGCCGATAATCAGTCGGAATCCGAATCGGCTATCGTTGAAAACCATCGAACGCACTATTTGAATCACGGACATAAAACAATCACATCCACTCACATCGTTTGATTTCTGAAGCATTTTATTTTTCTCCAGTCGCCGGCTGTGAGCCGGTATGCGTCTATTTGCATACTAGACATACCCGAAGAATGCTGGCGCCGCGCTCCAACAAACGATTTGTTTTTGCTCTTGTTTCATCGACTCTTACGTTCTCGTCCCTCGGATTACAGTTTTACTTTGCTTGCACATAAAAATATGCGGCTTCGCGAGCGTCGAAATCGTCAGAAAGAGCTTATGCGTTTGCCGTTTGAATATATATAATAAATGTGGTTATCCATTTCGAATCGCCCCTTTTGATTATCTCATCTTTTACCATGTCGTACACACAAGTCGATCGAAATGAATTTTTAATAACTGGAATCTATGTCAATTCTATTTTGGTTCGTACAGTAGTTTTGGTTTTCTTTCGCCGTTCAGATTTTCATCGATGGCATGGACATTACGCTGGTGTGCTTGTAATTTCATTACAATCGTTTTGTACAATTTATACTTCCTCGTGTATTGAAATTCGGTCAACGGTTGACATGGAGTGTGTGTATTTGAATTTGGAACAGGTTGCCGCAACGACGATGACGACGCATCGTCAATGGATGGCTGCTTTTGTTTTACTTTCAGGTAGAACATTAAGCCCTTTGCGCTTTGTATTGTTACACACAACAATTAACCGGACATGTATTCAAATGAGGTCAAGTAATCAACTAGCCGACTTTTCGTACACCGGCCACACAGTGTTGACATTCTTGAAGCAAATTCGGTTGAACAAGGTCAGGGCCAGTGTTTTTTTTTTTACCGCAATAGCCATTTATTTCCTCGTGAAAATGAGGCACTTCTTTATACGTTCTTGACTGAGGAGGACATCGTCAGAACATTCTTTATTGGAGAAATTTGCATGTAAATCGACTATTCAGTTCTGATGCAAATCAGTTTTTAAACATCATTGAACTGAAACGCCATAAATGAAGCCTTCATTGAGCCGGTTCAATGTCAATTCAGACCGTAAAAGAAACTTGTTTTGTCAAAATGCCGGCGATTTGACTTGTTTTGCCGAAAAATTGACTTTCGTCCGACAAAAACACATAGAATATTCAATGGAAACGGACGGAAATAGCTTAATATGACAGCGTAATTGGTGGCTTTGCTTTAAAGAATTCCAGCGGTAGCTGCAATCTTTAAACGGTTAAACGATTCTGTTTTTGTTCATTCTCAGTCGTTGAATTGGATACGGTTATGTTTTTTGTACTTCTTTCATTCCATTGAATGAAATTCGTTGGATGTTTTTCTTGTTTCGTTCTTTTTCCTACTGTTTTTGGCTTTTCTTTCGCTATTTTTCGTCTTTCTCCTGCGTTTTCAGCCGTGCATCCGCTTTTCGGATATTTTATTCATTATTTCAAATTTCAACTCCTTTTTCAAAAAGTTTGGAATAGAATTTGTTCCCAATTCGAATAGCATTTTGCCTGATTTTCGATAATTCCCCGTTTTCATTCCAAATTGCCGTCTATTTTCCAAAACCATTTAATTTCGTAGCATTTCATTATTTTCGCTTGAGTTCTTTGGCTCAGCCGGTGAATAGCAGTGATTGATTTCCCGATCAAATATGCGAAATATGCAATTAATTTCGAAAATAGTCTGTGTGTATGTGTGTGGTTCGGATTGAATTGGGCTAGCTTTGTGTTGGGCCAAAGGATATCTGTTTGGCTTCCGTAATGCGATACACAAATATTCCCCAACGAAAGTAAATGGCATTGTATTTCACGGGTAGCAGCTTCAAATTAAATCGCTCTATATCACGTTTGTTTACAAGCCACACCCGAAACTTTTCCTTGTTTATATTTCGTTCAAGTGTTGAAACAATAAGAACAACAACAACAGCAAAAAATGAACACATTACGACCTGAATACATGTTATGACTGATAGAAATTAGCTGGTACGACAAGAGAAATGGTTTTGGGTTTTTGTTGCGTCGATATGTGACATTAAATGAACTGCACGCAATATTGGCGTTTGTATCCAAGCATAATCGCTAATTTCAAAAATAGAAAACCAAATGACACATTCATTGAGGATTCACACAGAGACATATATTATGTCATATTTTTTTTTCTATATTTCATGTTTACTCTTCATGTGCGAACCCCGAAAAAAAGAGAACGCCGACACGCTACTATTGCTTAGGTCATAAATCGTTTGTGTGCTTCACATTAACACCACGACAAACATCCTCGTCTAATACCATTGATTTTACATGTAAAATAACAACAAGAAACGGCAAAAGTGACCTCTCGTAGCGGCACAGTTGAAACTAACGAAACAAACACAATTGAAAATGTCATTCTTATGTACGTGTTGGTTCTGTTGTTTACCGTATAGCCGGAGAGAGATGTCTACAGCTTAGTGGCGTTGAATGACATTCAACACCCATGACGACAAATGACAACAAATTTCCTCGGACATTTGTTTGGCTTTTGGTGGAATGGATAGAAAAAAAAAATCTTCTTTTCTATTCTCCAAAGAAAAATGAATGAAAAAAAAATCAAAGAGAAGATGATGATGAAAGAAACATCGCTTAATAGAGGAAAAATAAAAATAAGAGAAAAAAATCAAAAAGAGAGAAAAATTTCAAAAACAGAAAAAAAAACCAAACAAATTTCGTCAATCCAATTTAAAACCAATCTAACGATAATTTTCTTCTTCCATTTTAGCTGTTGCAGTTGTGCTTTGAATATGTTACTGTCGGTGCTTTGCATCGTACTTGTGATAGCGGCCGTTGTTGCAGCTGGCATCTACTTTGGTGTCATCGACAAGGATAAGGGCATTGAAGGAAATTACGACAGTATAAAAGATTCATTCAACAATGGTTTGGATAGTGTCAAAAAGCAATTCGACAAAAATAACTGAATCATTTTCATATTGAACCAAGTGCCCTCCAGCAAAAACATACACGTTCCTCAATATTCAATCGCCAATTATTACGAGTTGCCAAATTGGTGGGTATATTTCGCCGGATATGAATGAAATTCCATTTCGAAATAAAGTCGAATTTTGTTGCTCCAAAAAATTCTTGCATTCTCCGAAATGTGTTAACTGATTTTTTTTTACGTGTGAAAAAATATCGCTCGATCATAAAAAATACGGCATATCGTACCAAGTAAATTTTTAAATTTAATAATCCACCTTGTCATTTCCTTTCGCCTTTTTTTAAAATTCAATGCCAAGTTTTTTGCCTTCATGAACGGAGGGCGTTGAAGAATAGAAGTCCTTTTTGGACGAATGATATGAAATAGTCGAAATGGAATTTATTTTCGAGGCAATTCCAATTAATAATTGTTCAAGGTTTATGACCAAATGGCCAGTTTTTCCATGTTTCTTTTCAGAAGCCGCCTTTTTCGTTACTTTCGCCTGTATTTCCACTCCATATGACGCCGTTTTAATGCACCGCCAATCTCACGATCAATTTTTTTTTTCGTATACCCAATCGCTTCACCGGATCAACCGACGTCAATT